TTAAAGAACTTTCTTCCCACATGGGAGCGTTTTTCAGTGCTTAGATCGCTGAAACAAGATTTTTCCCTTTCTTTCCCTCTGTTTTAGTCCCTCCCTTTGCCTGCTTTTCTTTTTGCAGGGTTAGTATATAAATGTAATAACATATATTATATATTATAATTATATAATACAACAATCATATAATTATAAATTTATAATATAACAATTTAATATGCTATGTAATTATATATACACATAAGGGTTATTTTCCCTTCATTGTTAATCTTTGACTTGATTGGGGAATGTCACATATCTCTTTCTATCCTCTTCCTTCTCTTTTCTTTTTATGTATCCTCCTGTTCTGCAATTTAGTCTCACAAAGAAATAGATGTATTATGAGGTTTGGTCTATGATGTTGCAGACCTTTTTCTCTATCAACACTTCTATTTGACTTCCATTTTTATCCTTGTCTCCTTATGTGCTATTAGAATGCTATGGTCCTTTCTATTGTTATGTTTTTGTTGTTCACCCCATAGATGTTATTCTCATTCAGTTTTTTCCCCCCAGGGTAATTTGTTTTGTTGTCTATGCCTCCCTTGTTTGCTATATTTGTTTATCTTTCTTGTATTTCTGTTGTCTAGAGTGATTGTAAAGCAAATAATTTTTTGAGGTCTGGTTTGCATTACAGGAATGCTTCAAAAGCTTATTTTTTAATTGAACATCCACCTTTTTCATTAATAGTTAGGCTCAGGTTTTCAGAACCTATCACCTTGGGTTGCATCTTGAACTCCTTTTGCTCTTCAGAACAAATTCCTTTCCTTCCACTTTCTCTTGGGTATAGGGTACCCAATATATTATTCAAATTTGCTTTTTTGAAGATCTTTCCCTTGGTCATTTGTAAAATTTGTTGTTTTTTATTGGAATTATTTAACTACTGTATGGCTTGAAGTTTAAATCATAGGTTTTTTGTTTTGTTTTTCTAGACTATCTGTGGATTTTTTTCAATTAGCACTTGGTTTTATGTGTTCAGAAGTTCTAGGCCATTTTCTTGTAATATTTCTCTTTTCTTTTTCTTTTCTTTTCTTTTCTTTTTTTTTTTTTAGGCAGTTGGGGTCGAGTGACTTGCCTGGGGTCACACAGCTTGTAAGTGTCAAGTGTTTGGTCTGAGGCCAGATTTGAATTCACATACTCCTGACTTCAGGGCCAGTGCTCTATCCACTGCACCACCTAGTTACCCCTGTAATATTTCTTACTTTATGGTTTTCAAATTTTTTGACTTGTCAGATTCTTCTCGGAAACCTGTGATCCTTTCTGGCTGTATGCATCCTGTATTTGAGATAATATGTTTTGCTTGAGTAGATATCATTATTTTCTTTTAATATTAATTTTTAAATTTCTCTTCTTTAGATTTATTTCAGTGTATTTGCTATTCCCAATTCATTGATCTCTCCTTTTGTTTCTTTAGTGATGCTTGGCCCCATGGATTCAAGTTTTCTGTTCTCCTGATTATTTCTGATGTGCAGGCCAAAAAAATCTGCTTTCATAATTCTTATTCCTTTTTTAAACTATTCAGGAACATCTTGCTGTGGTTTCATGCTGTCTTGGGAATCCTCTGCTTCTTATTCCTCATCAACTATTGATTCATTTTCCTTAGTCTTATAATATATAGGAATCTATTGGAATAGCATAGATATCTGGATTTGATTTGCTGATATAGAGGCCATATCTTTCCTTTTGGTTTATCTGTTTATGCTAAAGATCTTTAAACAAAGTTTTCTTCCTCCTGAGGTTTTTGGTAATTTTAATATTTTTCACTCATATTCCCCTTATTCCACTTTTGACTACTTCCCCTTCAATGGCAGTTACCTCGGTGGCTGGATATCAAAGCTGTCTCAGGCTCCTTCCTCCTCCCCATATTCTGCCTTCCTTGACTTACTTCAAGTTCCAGCTCCTTCTTACATATAGAATCAAATACAAATCTCTCTGACTGCTGTTTAAAGCCCTTTACAACCTGGCTACAACCTATGTTTTCAGGCTTATTACTTGTTATTCCTCTTTCTACGCTCTGCAAAACTTGCTTTCTTTCTTGCTCATGCTACACATTTCATTCGTACCCAAGCTATTCTTCATGTCTAGGACACACCTCTCCCATATTCTACCTCTTACAATGTTTAGTTTCCTCCAAAGCTAGCTTACATGTCATGTCCTACATGAGACTTTTTCTGATCCCCCTAGTTGCTAGCTTTCCCTCTCCTAAATTATCTTTCATTTATTTTTATATCAACATATGTGTTATATGCATATGTAATGATTCTCTGATAAAATATAATCTCCTCAAATGCAGAGACTATTTTCATTTTTGCTTTTGTATCCCCAGTGCCTGACACATAGTAGGCAATAACAAATGCTAATTGAACATGATATACTTTCATATAAAATCCACATAAAAATATAATTTAACCATTGATTCAATAGAACAATTTCTTGAAATATGAAGGCATAAAGAGTAATAGGTGAAGAAGAAGTTCTATGCAATTTTCTTGTAAAATTTTTTACATTATGGTATTCAGCCTTTTTGACATGTTCACATGTTCTGGGAAATCTAGAAGGGAAGTAGAGATACCTCAACTTGTAAAATGAAGGAATTGGATGAGGTTTTTAATCAACTCTTCCAAGTCTTCCATTCTGGGAGTATCTGTGAATTAATCATAAAGAAGAAGCTATTGTGGAAAACAAACACTTAGATACAATATGGGACCTTCTTTGTTAGTCTTCAGTTATTAGTAATACCACTTCACCTCGCCATAGTTTCCTACCCTATCCCATCCCAAATATTAATATAATACTTCTTTTTAAGTCACTCAAGGGCTTCTAATTTGAGTCAAAAATTTTCCTAGTCCAAGTTTATTCATATATTACATTTTTATCATGTGTCATAACATCCTGCTTAGGCAGCTGGCAGCTTTAACTGCCCTAATAAGAACATTTCACAATATAAGCTTTCTTTTTCTTCCTGTACTGCTCAGTCCTCTCACTACTGAATTCTTTTTAGTAGTTATCCATTTGCATAAAGAACAAGCTACTCAGCATCTCTCCTGTGCCATACTGCCAAACTTGTAACTTCTGCCTTGCTATCCATAGAGCAGAAGCAGAAAACAGAGAAAAGTTCCTATTGCAGCTTGGTGACTAGGTCTTGTCCTTTCCTTCCTCTCACATTACTTCCTCCCTTCTTTCTTGCTTTCTCTTTTCTTCTTCTCTTCCTCCCTTTCTCCCTCTTTTCCTCCCTCCCTTTCTTCCTTCTTCCTTTCTTTCCTTCCCATTTGTTCTTACTGTGCTTTGCTAGACCTTCATCCAGGCCATGCCTGCTAACCAAAGGTTATCCCACAGGGTTCTGGACCCTCTTTTCTTCTCCATCTATAGTATTTCACTTGGTGACCTAATCAGCTACAATGGATTCAGTTATCAGCTCTGTGTTGAAAACTCTCAAATCTACTTATTCAGCTGTAACTTCTCTGCTGACCTCCAGTCTCATGTTGCCTATTAACCAGCTTGAACTGGATGTCTTGTAGACATCTTAAACTCAACATGTCCAAAACTGAACTCATCGTTTTTCCTTCCCACCCTACAACCCCTTCCAAACTACCCTATTACTCTCAAAGGCACCACCAACCTCCTGCTCATGTGGGCTTGAAATTTAGGTTTCATTCTTGACTCTTCACTCTCATCCCATATTCAGTTTGTTGCCAAGACCTGTTGATTTTGCTTTTCCAAATATGCCTCTCCCACATATTCCCCCTTCTTTCCTCTGGCATTGCCACCACTCTAGTCCAGACCCTTGTCACCTCATGCCTAGACTATTGAAATAGTCTGTGCTTTGTCTGTCTGCCACAAATTTTTCCCCATTCCAGTCCATCCTCCACTCAGCTGTCAAAGTGATTTTTTCCCTAAAGTGTAAGTCCAATCAAGTCTACATGTTATCCCCACTTCCCCTCCTCCCCGCCCCCCGCCAAGCCTCATTTCTGCCTTTTGGCTTCCCTGGCTTCCTTTAAGTTCTAGCTAAAATCCTACCTTCTATAGGAAACTTTACGTAATTCCCCTCAATTCTAGTGTCTTCTCTATTGTTTAGCTCCCATTTATCCTGTATATAGACCGTTTGTACATTGCTATTTGTATGTTGTCACCTCCATTAGGTTGGGAGGGCTCCTTCAGAGCAGGGACTATCTTTCTTTGTATCCCTAGTAATTAGCACAGTGCCTGGTACATAGCTGTTTATTGAATCATTTAGTTTAACTGATTTTCATTCTCTCCTTCCTTATAATCAGTGTTCAAATATGCTTGACTAACTTCTTCCCCTTCCATTTTGATTAGTACCTAATTTTGCTATCAGTGCTTAATTTTACTCACTTTCCTATACCATAAACTCATAAATTTACGTTAATGCCTCCTATTAAAGGGACCAGATTTTATTCTAGGCACTCATTTTTGAGTATTCAATTTGAACATAAGATTTTTTTAAACCATAATTATAGCACAATTACAATTGTATGGTTTGACCTTAAAACATTACTTGTGTCTTAGGCTTGTGTGTGCTTGATCAACTTGGACATTTTATAAAAGGTCAAACAGAACTTCTGTAATGAACTTTACCTGCTTCAAAGACCTGGAACTCTATAAACTAATAAGCATATAAATTCTTGTCTAACACATCTCATGGAGCTATTGGAGTATGGAGTATCAGAAATACAGGAATGATAAACCAAATCAAGGACCAAATAGTACTTAGGGTACCAACAAATGTCTTCTTCTCTGATCTGGTCCTTCATGGGTTTCTATAGCTATTGCATTCTTGGCCCCTGCAATAATAAAAAGTAGAATAGAGATTTGATTGGAGGCTTAGAGCAGAGAAATGGAGCTTTGACATAGTCTTCCTTGTCCTCTCACAGTTCATTTAGGGACCATTACAGGGGAATGTACCTGAGTGATGTGAATAATATTTTAAAAATAAATTAAATCATCCACAGCAACCTGTACTGGACTGACTGGAATAGAGAAGGACCTAAAATTGAAACCTCTTCTATAGATGGAACAAATAGAAGGATTTTGGTGAATAAAGACATTGGACTACCTAATGGTTTGACCTTTGACCCTTTCTCTAAACTGATTTGTTGGGCAGATGCAGGTAATTTTACTTACTACAGAAAACATGCAACTATCTAACCTTTGACTGCAGTGTATTTAGAGCAGTGGGCTAGATTTCATTGTTTTGGTTTTGTGTTTAACTAGTAGGCAAAATTAAAGTAGGTATGACAGAAAAAATTTTTCAAAAGTTCTTTCCAGTCATCCCTGGGAAAGCGTTGGATGCAACGGTTGACTTTATTTTTCTGTAATATTACCACCATGTAAAAAGCAGGTCTTGTTCAGTCATGCCCACCCTAGTCTCTGATCCAAAAAACAAGAACAGATAAGTATTTCTGCTTAGGAAAATCTTTTTGAGAAAACCATAAATGACGAGAGAGAAGCCTCTGAACTGGTAATTGATAAATACTAAGCTTCCTTGGTATTTCATTATTACAGATGATAATCCATTTTTACTGTGTTCTAAGATGATCCTTTGCTATGTGTTTGGATCTATATTAAGCAGGCTGGGGCTTTAGAGTCTAAACCCCAGGGGAATTTATCATCTGAACTGGAAGGTAACTCAAATGAGACTATAAGATTCAGTTATCCACAACTGAATTAAGGCCTCTCAAAGCACATTAAAGATTAAATTGGGATTAAATTAAGTTGAATTATTAAATTAAATTGGGATTGAGATTTCTCATTGTTTAATTTTGAATACTTTTCCTTTTCTAAGATTTATTTTTATACTGTCCAAAACTATATTGAAAATAAGATGAATATTTTCCCTTCTATTTTGTTTCAAGCCAGAAAAAAAAGCAAGCCATTTAAAAACTTAGGTTTTGATTTTGCTTTCTGCATGTTTTATAAGCATGTATATATTAAGGCATCCATTGTTCATAAACATGCGTATTATCACATAAATGGAAAATAATCTTTTCAGTAGTATTTATGTTAATGTGCCTTAGGAGTACACAAACTCAAATTTAGATTGCTTATGCAATTTCTTCAAATCAAATCTGAATCATCCTTGTGTAAGGGAACCATAGTTTAAATATAAAAACGCTAACTAAAGTGCTATTGAAGTATTCTTTTTGGATTAATAAAATATAACCAAGAGTTGCCGTTTGAAAAAAAGGCAAGGGTAGAAATGATACAATTATTTTGATCTATTTTTATTGACCAAGACTCTATAATTTTCAGGGAAAAAAAGGGGGCGGGGGGTTCATCAATTTCTTGAAGCCTGAAACGTATGATATTCTTTAATTATGGTTTCTAATCTTTTTTCCCAAAGGAACCAAAAAACTGGAATGTGCATTCTCAAATGGAACTGGAAGGCATATAATACAAAATAATCTGAATTATCCCTTCAGCATTGTTAGCTATGCAAATCACTTTTATCATACAGACTGGAGAAGGTAAATTGAAGACCATAATGAACAATCTTGAGTTGAAGGGAAAAATCAAAGTATTTTAGCGTTATTTTACTCAGCCAACTAGTTGATCATCCATTTCATCATTGGCTTTTTCATCAGTACCACTTGCTCTAGATATGTGTAGTACAACTGGAAGAATCAAGAGAACAAGGTTGAGTTCTGACTGTGCAATTAATTTGCTTTCTTTAGGGCTGTTTTCTCATCTGTAAAATGAGAGGAAGTAGAGAGTGCTGACTTTGGAGTCAAGAAGAACTGGATCTAAGTTCTGTCTCTAACACACATAAACGGTGTGACGATGTGCATAAATCACTTATTCTCTTAATGCCAAAGGCATTTATAATACTATTCATGTTGGCTGCAGATAGGAACTAGTTGGATGGAAAGAATTTCCATGATGGGAGTTGTCCACACATAAAGCCATAGCCTACCACCTCCCTTTAAAAATCACTCCCACTCCTATATGCCCACAATTTGTTCTAAGTGCTATTTTAAAGGTATTGTTTGTCCCATCTTAAATGTTAACAGTATTGAAGCTAGATCAACATTGTATTGCATTGTAATTTAAAGGATAAACTAATGAATTTTTTGAGAGGTGACAATGCTAATTTCAGTCTCAAGAGCATATAGACCATAGCATAAATCTTAGGTGGTACCACAACAGGAAATACATTTCTGAAATTTTTCTTATTGAAGTTACATGTAACTTTTAAGCCAATAAATTTGACTTTCAAAACTTCAAGATTCTCTAGTTTTAACCTATGAAAACAGAGCTATTTTTTACTGATAACTACAATTATTGGTCCCTGTTCAAGACTTACAAATTCCTCATGTTTACACCAATATACGAAACTGTACAAAAAAAGCACAACAGCCACCTTGTAGAAAGCACTGAAGAGATAAGTACAATGCTTATTACACTTTTAAAAAGCATACAGTAAAAAGACTTCTGATTTGAAAGGACACTTCATAAAAATTGTGACTATGTAATAGCAATTTTTGAATAGCAATTTTGGGGAATTTATGTTGTATTGCTGCCCTGGTACAAAGCCAAGAAAAGCCTAATATTTTTAAGTAAGGAGTATTAATATTTTCTTTGGGTAATTCTCAAATTTTGTTTACTCTTTTTTCTTTAAAAGCATGAGACTAATATACATGGTATAGATTTGTAGTTTATATAATTCTTTTTGCTTCAGTTTGTAAATAGAAGTTTGTGTGTATGTGTGTGCACACATGTGTAAGTCCAAAAAAAATCTGAAGTCAGCCACTAAAAAAAAAAACAAAACACGAGACTGGTCTGAATTAACTAAAATATCTTTATAAGGATCAAACCTAACTTGATATTTAAACCAACCCTTTTGCCTATAATCTATTCCTTGCCATGAGCTAAAATAAAGTTTTTATACATAAAAAAGACCTGTTTATTTATCCTTTCTGTTCCTAGGGATGGTGTTATAGCAGTAAACAAAGATAATGGCCAGTTTACTGATGAGTATCTTCCAGAGCAAAGATCACATCTTTACGGAATAACTGCAATTTACCCTTATTGTCCAAAAGGCAAATAAACAATCTAGAGGTGAGCATCACGATCTCATTTTGTAAAACGGATTGTGTCAAAGATGATGCATAGGAGCTACATTCCTTTAGCAGATATGCTGTTTGCTCCTGGAGTCCCATCACCCCACCACTGTGAGAGCCACTGGTAGCCATAACAGTACACATGAGTACAAGTCCCACTGCAGCTATGCAATTACTTATTAATAGTCACTGAATCTTCGTCCCTGGCACGCTACATGAAAAGGGGTCAGCTTCCCTGTATTTCTCCCTTTAAATACCTGATAAAAACACTTAGTGTGAGAAAGAGTAAGAAAATAACCTTTTCCCCTTCCCTCTCCCTTCTCTCTACAGGAATAAAGTAATGAATTCTAAATAACAGAATTTTAACTCTGAAGACTATTTCCTTACCAACAGTTGGAAAATGAGTGAAGAAAATGAAAAAAACAGAATAAATGAAGGCTACTGCCAGTTTCTGGATATGCCACAAAATGACCTTTTAGAGGGCAAAGATTAGTAAGTGTATTCTGGGAAAGTGTTATACCTCAATCTTTACTACTGTATTTTCTAAAAACAAACAAAAAAAAATTGATATTGATACTATAAGGAAAAAATAAAATCCACTAAGTGCTATGAACAGAATTTGATTGTTGCTTATAAAACATTTTTAAATATAATTACCATATTTCACTTTTAAGGTAAAAATTCCTTAAAGAAAAATTAATTAAATTTGAAATGTAAAGAACTCATAGATCAATTTTAGTTACAGGTTCCTCTTGGCTAAAAGATTATTTTGCTTAACTAAAATATGCATTTAAAGAAAAAAATATAGTCCTAAAGATCACAAATGTCGATCACAAGCCTTGAAGAAGCTATGTAAGTAACATTAATGGGAAAAACCAATGTAATTAGGATTTTTGAAGTTCTAAATGTTGTCTCTTTACCTCACCACCAGTGAATTTCTTTTAGTATTTATATTAGAAGGTGCTAGAATAATTCATTTTGTATTTTATAGTTCTTAAGTGCCTATATACCCATAGCAGAAAAAATTACATTCATGTATACTTATAAGATATAGTTCTATTCAAAGGTTCTGGATTACTTTAATAAAACATTTAAGTTTTCCTGTCAGTAAGACTTAGTGTTGTTTATGACAAACTTGAGAATCATAATAAATAATAATTTTAAATTCAAAGCAGTCTCAAATACAAAATTGATGATTAATAGTACCTAATATATAACCAAATCAGAATATGTCCATTTCTTTGATCTTTATTAAAGAGAAAACACAACAATGGTAAGAATTCAAAATTTTCTGCTATTTTCCCTCCCCAGTCACATTTGACTGAAAATATATTGCCAGAGTTTTGCCAGAGTTCCTAGGTGTTCTAAGTAGATGAGAGGCTGTAATCCTAAATTTCTTTATCTTCCAACTTTTCCCAATCTGTGGTCTGTCTTTGGATCAGCGATAATTGCTTGAACAGCTACTATGGCTTCATTAATTTTTGTTTGTAGTTCTCTGAGTTCTTCTATATGTAGCAATCGAAGAATTTGGGCAGCTTCATTAAGAACAGCATCTATTTTATCATGACAGAAGATATTGCATTGACATATACATGAGTAAATTATGTTTAAAACTGCAACCCCTTAAATCATCTCTGAACATAATTTCAATCAATGTTTTTAAAAAGTTGCAAGACATACATTAAAATTTGAAGACTAATTTTATGTCAATATTCTATATGCCTACGAAGAAACAGAATGGTTTATTGATGCCAGTGGATAATATGAAATCACTTTATAAAATCTGACCACTTTTAGGATTGTGACTCTAGAGGGGCACCACAGAGTAGTCCAACCCCCTCATTTTATAGATAAGAAAACTGAGGGTCACACAAATTTATACTTGATTAGTTAGGACAAGCTGTTTTACAAAATAGCACTTACCTCCTGTATCAAACCCAAGGATATGCTTATCTAAAGCAACAGGCAAGCCCTTTAAAGAAAAAAAATAGACAATAAGAAATGCTATTCTTATAATTGAGAAAAAAAATACTACTTAAAAAAATAAGGTAGAACTGACTAAGCTCAACCACACGGCATACTGCCCATTTCTGTACATGATTGCAACATTTTTTCTTCCTTTATATATTTACCACTCTGAAATGGGGGATTGGGAAAGATTAGAAGGTTTCTAATGCAAGCTTCTTTGACTTCATTTGCTAACATGGACTTCCTCCAAATTATAGAGTAACTGGAAGCAAACTGAAATTACCTATTGCTGCTCTCCTATTATTTCTTAAATTCTTAGTCAAACCAAATGATAACTTTGGTACTGTTTCAAGTCTGGGGCTTCCCCCACCTTAAGAATCAGCTAAGAGAAACAAAAAAGAAAGAACTGAGAAGACTGTGGAGTCTTCTTGGGTGGAGGTGAGGGGGAGAATAAGAAAAAGAAAACTCACTGCCCCTCTGCCCTCCAATAACAAGCAACTAGTCACTCCTTTAATTTAACCCTTTTTCTGCACACTGTCAACATAGATTATTGCAAAGGATAGGTTAAAAAAATAGGGAGAGGGATACATTCTACGGTGATACAAATTTTTGGATGTTTCTTCTAAAAATATAGAGGAGGATGAAAGAGGGTAGAGTAATAGAAAAGCAAATACAGAAGCTGTTATTTAATTTTAATTTAATCTATTATTAATATTTTCCTATTCATTTTGGTGCCAGTAAAAATATTCGATGTAAAAACTACCCATCAGATTGAAATCTTGTTTGTACAACTATGTAATGATCTTTACAAAACAGAGTTGGAGACAGACATTAAGACATGGTAGAATAACGGTATACTTAAAATGTAAGATAGGATTTGATTGTTTAATACTAGATTTTTCCATTGGTTCTGGCTAATTATAAGAGAGCAATTAGCAATAAGGGGGGGGGGGAAAGCTTGAGTAACACAAAAAACTAATGTTAAACGTCAAAGATGCCATTCAGCATCTTTTTTTAAAAGTTATAGGCTATAACTGAAGTTAATTTGACATTAATATTATTAGACTAGACTTTTACATATTAACAAAAACTGAATAGATTCAGTGCTCAGTTCAGAATTAGGGAACGTGAATGGTCCAGATTGCTTGAGCAACTAACTTCTTTATATAGCTCCAGGGACATTCCCACTCTCCAGTGTCCTCACACCCATCATCAACAGCCATCTTTTACATATATTCTGCATTTGCTTAGCTACGCAGGGGCAACGTAACACATTTTTTCACTTGCTCTTCACACATGAGCTATGTGTGAATGTGCACACAATGTGAATTTCATAGAAGATGACACAAGCATCTTATAATGAATAAATTATATAACTAAAGGAATGTGAAGAGAAATTCTATGAAAAACCTGATTAGGCCCTGATATTTGGTTACTTCAACTGAAGGTGGGAAAAGTGAGGATGTGAATAAATACATGGAAAAGCATGGTTCAGGAAAAAGAAATGAGACAGATAAAGGACTTGTAGATTATATAAAAAAGCTTCATATCCTTATATCACGTACACTTTCAAAAAAGAAGTGGTAGGCACTGGAAATAGTAAGCACCTTCTTAAATATGGAGTGGGTATTCAATAGAACACAGAAGGAGGAGTGGAAAGAACTTGGACATTTAGAGGGACAAGGTTGAAGGGAATGGGAATGCCTGGGGAGGGGATCCAGGGTTTATACTTTAACAGCCAGGGATTCAAACTCACTGAGACAAAGAGAATAAGAGGGGATATAAATATTTTTTGAGCAATAACTCCAACCAATTATTGACATGATATTTAATGAAAAGGCAAGAGATAAAACTGTTCAAAGCCCTTTTCTGAGGTACAGCCTTGTGGCAGGTGGTGGTGGTATGCCCCATAAAACTTCAGGAAATCATCTCAGAGTAGACAAGAGCATTACCTGAGAGAGCCTAGTCAGGAGGTATAAGGTTGTAGGAGAAAGTGGGTTTGGTCTAGGGATGGTCTTTAAAGCACTGCAGAAAGCCCTGGAGCAGAGGCCAGAGGCCTGGTCATGGGCTGTTGCAAGGCTCAGTGGGAAAGCCCTAATGGAGGCCTAGTGCTAAGTGACCTAGAACCAAGAAAGATAAGGCCAGAGCTGTTCTATCGAACCCACGGAGGTTCCAGAAGGCAAAGCCCAATTTTCTCAAAAGGAAGAAGTGGCTGTGATGGCCCAAGGAGAGACTGTCCAAGAAGTGAAGACAAAGTAAATGGTGGTTCCATGGACAGAATCAGTAAAGTCATAGGAGGACCAAGGTCTTTTGGAAAATGGAATGGTAACTTCAGATTTGAACATCTGTCCATTTGGCTTTGGACATTTTGAGTTTCACATACCAATAGGTCGTTCAGATAGAGATATTTTGCATAGTTAGAGATGTGAATCTAAAGCTCAGAAGTCAAGTCAGAGCTGCAGACAGAAATTTGAGTGTGTGGCCTACTGATACTCTAGAGATTTAAGTACAAGTGCAGTTCCTGCCCACCACATGTCTGTGTTTGTGCCTGCAAAAAAGCATGGGAGAGGTGGCTAGGTGGCATTGTGGATAGACCTGAAGTCAGAAGACTTGTTCAAATCCTGCCTGAAGCTCATTAGCTTTGTGACCCTGGGCAACTTACTTGACCATTATCTGTCTCAATAAGGATAATAATAGCACCTATCTCCCAGAATTATTGTGGGGATAAACTAAGACAGAAAGGTTTGCCTTGCAAAACAAAGTGCTATATATAAGTGCTAACTGGTATTATTGATGGCATCAATAATATTGATGACATTAAGGTGGCTTTCAGTTGGAGCACTTCCATCTGAACTCTGAACAATATTTCTAAAGTTTGGCAGTATTAGGAATGTGCAGTGCAGTGCTGGATCTGAGGTCAGGAAAATTCATCTTCCTGAATTGAAATCTGGCCTCAGACACATTGTATGTCTGGGTAAGTCACCTTATCCTGTTACCTCAGTTTCCCCATATGTAAAATGAGCTGGAGTAGGAAATGGCAAATCACTCCAGTATCATTGACAAGAAGACCCCAAATGGGTTCACAAAGAGTCAGACACAACTGAAAGTGACTGGACAACAAGCATTAGGAAAAATAGTAAATTTTTCGTGTTCTGAACAATTCTTAAGAATGGCAATCATAGAGACCATATAGCTCCAAGGATGTGTGCTGGATTGAATCAAATATGGATTAATCTCCTTTCAAGAATTTGTAGAATCTTAATTCTACACACTCTGCATAGTCAATATGCCCTAATTATGGTGGCCTTTCAGCTATTTGACAAAACTGGCAAAGGAGAAGTTACATTTGGGAATATAGAGCACATATTTTGGGGGAGAAAATTATCCATCATATTAAGTGGAATTGGAATTGGTGGAAAAAATGGTTTTGTAAGAGAAAAGACAGAAAAAGGCACCTGATGCATATAGAATTCACTCAGTTTACTGGAAGTACAAGTGGGACATGCCAAGCAAGCACTTGTGCAATAGAATCAGAAGGGTCATTGCTATCAATCCTCAACAATCCAATCCTCCCTCTTAGACAACAACCATTTCCCTGACAAGTTTAATATATTTCTATACCAAACATTGTGTTTGTCTGTGTGTGTGTTTGTGTATCTCTTCAACTCTTCTTCAGCCAGTTCAGACGAAAGTAAGGCAAGTGCTCATTTCCTGCCACCTCTCCCTCAATGTTTGTATACTCATTTCATATAACCCTTCCCATTTAAATGAGATAGTAAGTTATCTTCCCATTCTCCTTTCTTCCCTAACATATTCCCTTTTCCCTCTGTTTTTGTTTTAAGTCCATCAAAACAGAACTAGGCCAAGAGAGTGGAGTAGAGAAGCACTTAGCAGAGCTCTCCCAACATTCCTCTCCAAACAATTTTAAAATAATGATGCAAATCAAATTTTGTAGTGGCAGAAGGTCTGTGTGAGACATTCTTCCAGCCCAAGACTACATAATAGGTGAGAAAGAGAGATCTGTGACACAGAGGAGGAGGCAATCCTAGAGCTCACATGGACTTCACTAGTGGTGGGAGAAGGTGGTGATGAGAAAAGCAGGAGTAGCTTTGGGAGTTTATCAACCAGAAGACAATCACATTGTCTTGGAAGCACCAAAAACTTCTAAACCTCCAGAACTAGTTCTGAAAGTAGCAGTATCAA